CTGTTGGTTGGGTTTTGCTAGTCTCAGTGTGGTTTTTGTTTCCTTTGAAAGATACTTACTCAGAACTTTAAAGTTCTTTTGGTGTTTTTCATTTATTTTAAACTAGGCGTCTTTTTGTAAGAGATTGTAAAAAGGCATTAGTTTTTCACCTAGATTTGGTAAAAATGATCTGAGGAGCTGAACAAATCCTCTCAATCTTTTTGTTTGCTTCACTGTTTGTGACATTCTCAAATTTCTCAAAATTTTTTGAATTTTTCCTCTTCGGTTTGCAATCCCTTTTCAGTTATCGTATTTCCCAAAAAGGTTATTGAGGGCATTCCAAATTGGCATTTCTTTGGTGAAAATTTTAATCCGGAGCTTCTCACGCATTCAAAAAATTTTCGTAAGTTTGGGATCATTTCTGAAAAATTTGTTGCACCTGCTCCTATGTCATCCATGAATTGCGTACATAGATCAGAGGTAGTGCAGTGGTCTAAGTATGATCTTATGAACGAGCTAAAGCATGTCTTTGACTTACTTAGTCCTTGAGCTAGTGATTTAAATGCAAAAGTCCCAGAGGCGAAGTTGAAAGCCAAAAGGTGTACAGATAGCGGGTCTGCCATTTATACACAGTGATAAGCTTGTGAACAGCCATGTTTTGTGAAAATTTTTTCATGCAAAATGATTTTCTGCATCTGTCATGTTCGAGATTGGGAAATTATAATTGTTGTAAGCATGTCTAAGTAAATGATTTAATTGTCGTAAATCGATTAAAATTCGCAGTTTCCCTGACGCTTTGCGTTGTGCAAAAATAGGACTGCTGTATTTTGAGTTTGGTAAAGTGGTTACTATATTATAGTACTGTATAAAGGCTAGTTCAACTAATAGTTCTTACCTCAGGTGAATAGGCGTCGGTGGACTTTGAGTATAAACTGGCAGATTATGTTCTGGTGTCAACTTAATTTTCAGCTCTGTGTTGTAACCAACATCGAATCTGTGATTAGCAAAAACCTCAAACTATTCAAGCAAAAGTTCCTGTATTTGTGTTAGTTGTTCTGTGTCAAGTGATGAGTTATTCCAATTGAATTGCTCCAAAAATTTTTGTCTTTCAACTTGTTTGCTTATATCAAGCATGTCTAATCTTCGAAGATGTTGAATTGAGTCATAAATTCGTTTTTGCAGTCTAGGAAGTGTATGAGATTTTTGGCATTTTTCTGGAGTCGGGAATCAAAGTTTATCATACTCAATTGTTCGTCTTTTTGTACTGTGTTGTCCTCTCGTGTCTACTTGCACTAATTGGTTCGGTTCCATGAAAAGTTTACCATTGGTTAGATTGTTGAGTGCTAGCATGTTTGCGTCTATTGGTATCAATTCACTGGATTCGATAGGGGTAAAAACTTTAAAGAACCCTGAGTTTGTTTATTAAGGTTCACTGGATGATCCGAAAAATTTATTGCCAAAATTTGTTCTTCGTTTTTAGAGCTTATTCGAAATCTTTTTCTAGTTTTGAATTTGGTAATGACTGCGCCTGATATTCCATTGTATTGCTTGCCTGTCTCTAGTTTGAACTTGATTATTTTCAGTTGTTTTGGCTGTAGTTTTGTTTTTTGGCGCCTGTAAAATTTTGCGTTTCTTTCCTACTTTAATTTTATTCCATGAAAGGTCATTTGTGGGAGTTTTAAAAAATTTCGGCTGGGACAAATGTCAATGTCGTGTTTCTTGAAAAAGGGTTTCCTAAAATCATACTGTTCATTGCTGGGAGAACTAAGAATTCGTCGTCAAATTCAAACTTATCAACTTGAAACTAAATGCATTTGACAGTGATTTTAAAAAGTCGACCTGATGCCATTTTAACAAATGAAGATGGCATTGGTTTTAGTGTGGATACATTATCTGCGTTATTGAGCATGCAGCAATGTCTATTAGAGTTTTACGGCTGAGATTGTTAGAAAAGAATAAAGGAATATAGTTGAGACTTTTATTGTCTTCTAAGGTTAAGGTTACATTGATTTGTATTCTTTTTGTGTATTTTTTGTTTTATTGTTTGTATAAAAGTGGTTATATATGGACTGTGGATCTGTGTGTGGCGTAAAGAGTTTTTTTGTTGGCTGGGAAAGGAAACTGGGCTCCTCTCTGTTGCCTTGGTGTTTGTAAGCAAAACTGAGCAGTGTGGGTTTGGTAACCACATATTTTGCATTGATTTCTTGCATTTTGTGTCATCTCGATATGACCATTTTGCTGTGTTTCCACAGTTTGAGCGTTTTGCTGGTTTTGTTGACCATTCTGCTGATTCGGTGGCCATGTATTCTGGTTCTGATTATTTTCGTGGTTATTCTAGTTTCCGGAGAACTGAGATTGACTATTTCACCAGTTTGGATTGAAGCCAGAGTTGTTATTGTAGTAACCTCTGTTTCTTCTTCTATATCCACCTCTGTTGTTTCCACGTCTATTGTTTCCTCTGTAATTCTGATTTGAATCTTGTTGGCTATTATTTTCAGAGGTATTCCTTTGGTTTTTGAAAATCTCGTTCTGTTCTTTTGTTTGTTTGGTTATTTCGTCCACTTTTGAATCTAGCTCAGATTTTTGCTCACTCCATTCCGCCATTACTGCTATAAGCATATCTGTTTGCTGATTGTGTTCTGATTGAATAGCGTTTATTCCACTGAATTCGTCTACTGAACATAGTTCTCTCAGAATTAACTGTTGTCGTGCTATTGTGCAAAGGTCTTGAACAGATGTCTTGCAGTCTTCTTTTTCTATTAACTTAGCTCTTATGTACTTCGGCACTCCTTTCTTAAAAAGTCTCATTACATATCCAGTTCTTTCTTGTTCCGCAAATCTTTGCCTTTCTCTATTTGCTTGATGTTCTGCTGCTTCACGAGCAATTTCAGCAGCGTCGGTACTCGCTGCCGTTGTAACTGGTAGCGGTATTGGGTCTGGAAATGAATGTAAGGCTAATTTTGGAGTTTGACTAAAAACCCTTCTCTTTGTTCTTCTTTATGCTTATTTTTCAAATTTTCTAACTTGAATTTGTGTAGTTCTCTCAATTTAGATTTCAAAAATGGTTTTTAAGAGCCTGTAAAGTTAAAGTTACATCGACTTTGGTTGCTGCATCAAGAGTGTGGAAAAATTGTAGTGCTGAATCTTTTGAGACAAACTACTTGTCGTGGTCTAGCTACTCCTGTGACGTCTATTTTGCTTCTGAACAAAGATTCAAAATCTACCCAAATTTCTAGTGTTGAACCTCCAAATTTTGTTAGCGAGACTGTTGAATGTGGAATTGGTACTGTGGGTAGAGCAGCGACAAGGGCTTCTGCTGTTGAGCTGTGTGCTGTCGATGTGCCTAATGATGTTAAGGAAGTTTCCGTAGTTGTTGTTATTGTTGTTCCCGTTGTTGTTTTTGCTGTTGACATTGTTAGCCTATTTTATGCTTTCTCTTTCTGCCAATTTTTTTTCTCTTGATGCTATCAATGTCTTTGTGTTTTGCTTTTCGGGTGTTGCTTTATTATCTTTATCAATTTACTGCACAGTATGGATTTGCTAAAGCATTTTAACTAACCTAGACAACTGTTGTGAGCGCGATGAGAGTGTATTGGGAGATGCGCATCTTAAATTGACTTCCTTCATGTGTTTTGAGCTCGGCAGATTGAAGATTTCTTTAACTAGATCAGTCAGTCAGTTCGTAGTTTGTCAGCTTTTGAAATTCGTGGCCGTCTGCTTCTTGATTTTTTTTTTCACTGTCTTCTGGTTTCTGAGTTGCCTGTCCTGTCTATCACCATGTCGTATCTCAATTTATTTTTGTGATGTCTCTGAAGGTTCCTCTGAGTATTGCTGAGTTTGTTATTTAGTCACTTTCCAAATGACGAGGAAAGTTCTATGCCCGAGAGATATATCGGATGTCGTTCAGTTCACAGGGCGGTATTCCTCTTGAAAGCTCAAAGGACAGAGAAAGAAGTTTGGGCAGAGTTTTAAATTTCGAGTCAAGCTGGTCACTCTTACGGATAGCTCTCGAGTAATTTTACAAAGTTTTTAAACAAAGAGTATATATTATTATTTACACTCATCAAATTTATTTAACTAAGTTATCAGCAAAGGTTGGGCACTCTGTTTTTCATCACCAAGCCTTTTTCGGAGTTTATTATTTCAGCTCAAACGTTTACTTCCTGTTTCTTCGTAATGATGTTTGCTGGTCCCCTCGTTCACATCTTCTTGTGGTCTCACAGAAAACATAGTTCGCGGTCGTCAATACCAAATAGGGCCTTGAAGTAATTTGGTTGGTTCAAATAATGAATCACACCCATAAATGGAATTTGAGGGTGTGACACCCCCCTCCCCCTTAATGACCTGCCGTAGAATGCCCTCCCCAATCATTAAAGCTGAAAACTGATTCCATATAAAATAAGCATTTCATAAAATTGCGCAAATAAAACTGATTTCTAGATTTTTGTATGCCGGATTGTATTTGTATTGCTAATAATTGCCTAGATTAATGTTTCAATTAGTAAAACGCTTAGTTTTGAATTGTTCTAGGCTATTGTCGAATTAATCTAGGCTACTGTTTCTGATCAAGAAAAAAAATCCATACCCCCGCACTTGATTTGGGGGAAAAATGTACGGTTGATCCTCCAATGCTATAGATCGGGATTATAGCAAAAGTGCCGCCGAATAAGTGAACAATTTTAATTGCAAGTTAGGTTTGCAAAAAAGGTTCCTACTAATACACTACGCTTTGTCAGCTCGCAAATGTAAAAATAAAACGCAATAATACCTTTACGCACTTCTAGATTTACCATAAGAAGTACAACATTTTCTACCTTAAAACAGTTTTAAGATCTACGTCATTCGGCTCCATCTTCTCGTCTTTTGGTGACCAAAAACTTTACCATTAACGTCAATGAGAAGCAGCATATATAACAGGATATGACGTCAGTATTATGCAAAACAACCAAAAAGCTCGAATTACTGTGATGTTATGTTCTAGCTCTGACGTGCATAAAGACTTTTTACGTCTTTACACTAATCGCCAATGCTGCGTTTGAAGTTAGCTATCACACTTTATAATTGTTCTGAGTCTGCTAAAAAACCGGTGTGCTAAAAAACCGGTCTGCTAAAATTCCTAGACCCTTTTTCACTTTTTATGCTAAAAGATTGGTCTGCTAAACGATCGGTCCCCATGCAGCACACCGAATTTGCTCTTATTCAACTAGCTACTATATATACCACAAATATTCACATTTACTTTCACATGAAGCTATTAGACCAAAAAATTTGCAGTAACACAGAGCTTTACGGTTACCTAAAAAAGTCTTTATGCACGTCACAGCTAGAACATAACATCACAGTAATTCGAGTTTAGAGCTTAAAACTGCATTCGAATCCAATCAATCAACTCAACAGTCTAAGTTGCAACTGAAATTTAACAACCGAGTAATAATTATTTACTGTTTACTTAAACATTGACCATTCGTCATTTTGTTGCATACTTCGAATCGCAGTGTTTTAAAACTGTGCTTTAGCCAAAAATTCAAACTGTATCACGTGAAACGAGATCCAAAAACTACCGAGACCGAAATGGATACTAGCCAACCCGAAGAAATCCCTCAGCACTTTCTGTGCCCCATAACTCTCGCTATTATGAATGACCCGGTGATTGACAACGAAGGCGTCAGCTACGAACGCGAGGCGATCGTCGAATGGCTTAATGCCGGAAACTCAACCTCGCCTACCACCGGGAAGGTACTGACTGTCAACGATCTTCGACCGAACAGGGCATTACGGGAGGCAATTGAGAAGCACCTTGGAGTGGAAGGAATAGTGCAATCGCCTCCTCGCAGTACGGAGAGCATGCCTGAAAGTGGATCTGCTTCGCAACCGCAGACAACTTTGGCCGGAATGGTAATTGATCAAGGTGAATGCTCAAGGACCTGTAGTCTAGAAATTTCACTTTTCAGAAAAAATTTTCAGAAAAAAAACTACCATGATTATTATCATCATAAATCCGACCGATAGTTGTCTGGACAAAATTTTTTTAAATCCATCATCCAGCCATAAGAGGTCCTAGGAAGAATCGATTGAAACATTTATCCAAGGATCGATTCACGTCGTTCTTTCCTAATCAATCCTCATGTTTCAGCATCCAGCTCGCAAGTGTCTGTGGAACTTGACCTCAACATGAAATACGACGGACACAACATGCTCATCTCCATCGAGCCCCCCGAATCAACACAGTGCGTTAGGAGCTCTATCTGCTGTGTTGTTGATGTCTCTGGATCTATGGGAACCGAAGCCACAATTCAAAACGAGAAGGGCGAAACTGAAACGTTTGGATTGTCAGTTCTCGACGTCACTAAACATGCATTGAAGACCATCGTCAAAAGTCTCACTCCTCAAGATGAATTCTCATTGATCACTTTTTGCAGCACAGTTTCAGTCGAGTTGGAACCGAGACTTATGACGCCAGCTGCAGTTGAAAATACTTTGGAGAGGATTGACGGGCTGTCTGAAAAAGACATGACTAATTTGTGGGGAGGACTGAAGAAAGGGTTAGAACTTCTGACGGAAAGCAGACCAAAGACCGACAACGTGGCACTGTTTCTCTTAACAGACGGACTGCCAAACATTGGGTTTGTTCAATTATTACTTAAAATGTTTTTTTTTTTAAATTTTGTTAATGTTGTGGCGCATCGGTACTGATGATGCCCAGCAATCATATGATTGCGACTTAAAATCGCACGTTCGCTGTAATTTACAAGGTGAGTTATTGCAATATCGCGATAGCTTAGTTAACATTAAATAAATAACCTACGGGTTAGGCCTCGGGCTGGTTACCTAAAAAAATAGTCAAATTCTGATGACCAGCGAGCAAAACATTACTTTTGTGCGTATTCTAAGTTTTAACACGGTGTCTTGATTTTTCAGTTCGTTTTAGACCAGCTAAGGGCGAGTCTAAGACCCTCGAAGACTTCAAAAAGAACAACAAAGGTCTGCCCGGTCGCATCCACACTTTCGGCTTCGGATACAGCATGAACAGTGTCATGCTCTCGGAAGTTTCTTCAATCGGAGGCGGACTTTATTCCTTCATTCCCGACTGCTCATTTGTCGGAACTGTCTTCGTGAATGCTGTTGCAAACCATATTACTACTGCGGCTTATAACTTGACTCTAGAGGTCAACGGAAAAAACGTGGTAATTGAGAAGGGTGATCACTTGGCCTACGGTCCGCAAGCCGATGATAAGAGTCGTGCGATTTCGTTCGGATCGATTCAATTCGGGCAGTCTAAGGATGTCGTGTTTCCACTCAAGAAAGTCAAAGGTTTGCTGGGTCGAAGTGAGCCTTCATTGGATGTAACATTGAAGTACTACACTGGAGGCAATAAGGTTGGTTTGGGAAATCTGTTATTAATACGAAATTATGAAAAGAATTCCATTTAAGCTAAGTGGTTAAAAGTTTAGTGGATCTACTAAAAAACCCCCACCCCTCTATGAAATATACTAAACAATCACCCCCCCCCCCCCCCCTCCCCCTTTAAATATAAACAGTAAATCAGCAGTTTATCTTTATACTGAGAGTTCTAATTTTGCTGCATTCCGATTTGAGCGGGGAGGGAGATTTTTAAGTAGATCCGATTTTGGTACTAAATTGTCTTAATGGACACTCGTTTTTCAGTGTACTTTATGTGAAAATTAAGCAAATTAAATGCGATACCGCAAAAAAAAAAATTTGTTTAATGTCGATTCCATTGACTTTTATTGCAGAAAACGTTGGAAAAGAGCTACGACTGGGACAGACAACCTGAACAGAGCGAAGATATCAAGTACCAAAGAATGCGCTTGGCACTTGTCAAGGGTATTCAGGACGTCCTAGACGTCAGCGGGCTCACGTTCCAAAGCCACAATTTCACTGCACGGGAGCTGAATAACAAGGGCCGCAAAAGACTTCGAACTCTTGAGAAGCGACTGAAGGAGCTCACGAACACGAATGAGCCAAGGTCAACTGACCTTCTGAAAGACTTGACAGGACAGATAGCGGAGGCCTTTTCCAAAGACGAGTGGTTCTTCAGATGGGGAGCCCATTTCTGCCTGTCAATCACACTGGCTCATTTGCACCAGGTCTGCAACAACTTCAAGGACCCCGGAGTCCAACACTACAGCAGTGAGCTTTTCAGCGAAACGCGCGATAAACTGGATGAAATTTTCATCACGCTTCCAGCTCCCAAACCTACTGCTAGAAGCCACCACAGAGGAACCAACTACAACGCAGCACCTGTAAGCATGTCTTCGTTTATGAACGTTCGTGGTGGTTGCTTTCTGGGCTCCAGCTTGGTCCATATGGCTGGTCGAAAATTCCGGAGGGCTGACCAGATAAAGAAAGGTGACAAAGTATTGACAGGAGCCGGTCTAATTGATGAGATAGAATGCGTGTTGAAGACTTGTTACGACGAGGACGAACCTCAACTTCTGTATCAAATCAACGAAAACCTCGTCGCCACTGCTTGGCACCCTGTAAAAAACGAGGCCCATCAATGGACATTCCCAGCTGAATCGAGCTCAGCAAAGGCCATCGCAGTCTGCACAGAAGGCGTGTACACTTTCCTGCTCAAGAACAGAGGTACTATTTTACTCGGTGACACTGAATGCGCAACTCTTGCTCATGGTCTGCAAGGTGAAGTGATTGAACACGAGTTTCTGGGAACTGAGACTGTGGCAGCTGATTTGAAACGATTCGATCAGTTCCAATCTGGACTAGTAGAAGTGACACAAGAAGCGTTCCAGAGGAATCCAGATACCGGAAGAATCAATGCTATCAGGATGAATTAACTTATCCGCTTCAAAGACAAATCGCTAAAAAGCTTTTGTAGATGACCAAAAATCTATAATAACATTGTTTCAGCTTGCAAATGGTCGGAACAAAAAAAAGCAAATTTGATACAAAACGAGCAGTGGAGAAAAGCTAGCAAAGTTGTTGGCTAAACAAATCAAACATAGCCTAAAATTTCTTTAAGAAAATCGTAAATGATTCCTGAAAAACATGACAAAACGATGCTTCTAATTTGTATGATTGCTCATTTCGGTAAATTTGTCTGTTGGTTTCCATTGGTGACTTTATGTCAGAAACCACTTATTTCAAAACGTACGCAACATTTAAAACATAATGTGAAAAACATTGGATCATATGCGTTAAAGATATACGCCATTACCACCTGCTTAAGTGACGGCAACACACCTAATAGCTGAACTCTGATACTGCAGACCTCAAATGCAACTTTATGACGCCATAGTAACCTTCGCCACCATCTCCAAACATGCTAAAAGTCTATTTTACTTTAAGAAAGCCTGCTGCTCAAAAAATTAGCAAATTCGTATAGAGGTATTATCAGCAGAGCTAGAAAAACCAAAATGGCATACTTAGCTAAACTCAACGACATTTTCAAAACTTGCTATCGGCGAAAACCTCCCGTGTACGCCTCTACTTGCATTTCTAAAAATTAGCGGCTAAGCTCAAGTTTGAGTTATCTGTTTTATTACTTTGATGTATGTTGCGAAGAATATGTTGTGATGAAAATGTTGTAATACTTTTTCTTAAGTCACCCGCACCGGAGTTCCATGGATAATAATCGATTATAATGGAAAAATGTTGACTAAAATGTTGTCATTATAATCCATTATAATCCATTATAATCCATTATAATCCATTATTGTGGCAAATTTAGACCACGTAATCGATTATGTGGTCATTAAAATCGATTTTTTTCGAAAAATAAAAATCCATTATAATCCATTATAATCGATTATAATCCATTATTTTTGTCACTGAAATCGATTATTTGTTGGCGGTAAACTGAAAACCCCTGAAAATTTGGTTTCATTAGGGTTTTGGTTGAAAAAAAACAGTGTGAAATGAAGTGTTAGTTAAACTGCGATGAATTATAATCGATTATATTCGGATTTTATTGATAAGAAAAATAGTTTCATTATAATCCATTTTTAATCGATTATTATCAAAACTTATTGAGACAGACCACGAAAATCCAATATAATCGATTATTATCCATGGAACTCCGGTGCGGGCAATGCGGTTTCCCTACCAAAGCAAGAGAGTTACCGTTCATGCAGGGGAGCTTAAAAACCTGTTCTTTCGGTTAAAATCTTTTTCTAAAAATTAGCAGATCCTTTTGGAGAAAACTAGTCCAAAAATAGATCAAGTTTACCCTGGTCCCAAGGCTGTGGTAGACAGAGAAGCTAATTTTTCCTTAAAATAATTGGCTGCATTTTTCAAAAAAGGGGCAAATTTTCTCCCTACGCCCAGTTTTAAAAACAAATGGCCATTTATTTGGTGGGCGTGACAATGTGCAACAAACGGGACATCATGTCGGATGAATTATCGTCAACTTCCATAGGAAGAATGACAGTAGAGATTAAATGCCATGCAAAGCAAGCATTGATTTTCAATCAAATGGGTCGCATTTCCGCGACAAACGATAGGAGGTAGAGTTTGACTTCTCTAGATTAGCCTACTCCAAAGCTGATTGGATCAGTGCTCATATAATCGAAGAGCCTGTCATGTACTGCTTCAGCAAGGTGGAAGTGATGATAGAAATGAGCGAATTCGCGGCATACGATAAAGTCAACCACCAAAAACTCGTCGAAAAGAAGGGTTTTTTTTTTAATTTGATGGGTCTTGCCTTGGATTGCGGAAAGCTACTTAAGTAGAAGGTTCCAACACTTTCGTAACGAAAACTGCATCTCCACGAATTTTCAATAACTAATGGGATTCCTCAGGGCTCTTTACTCGGGCCGCTTATGTTCAGCCAGCACAGAAATGAGGAAACAACAACTCCAATGTCCAGCTGCTACGCCGATGGCTACAAAGCGCTCGCGGACTAAATCCCCCAGGTTAAAATCCCACCGGATAGAATCTCACAGGACTAAATCCCACATAGGACCAAATCCCCCTAGGACAAAATCACCCATATTTTAATTCAGTATGGCTAGCCGGAGTAGGGTGGCGCAGCGGAAGCGTGAAGCACAGGTCGGCAGATAAAAACTACCTTCTGCTAGCTTAGAGAAAAAACCAAATCAGTTCGCGGAAAGCTTAAAAATTTAAAAGCAAACTATTCAAGCCATGGTTTTTTTCAAGTTAATTCATAGACTGAAATGCTTCGCGAAAAGTGAAATTTTTTTAAGCAAGCTTCTAAAGCTATAAAATTTTGAATAAGTTCAAGTTATTTTATAGACCGAATCGTTTATCTAAGCGAGCTAATAAAGCTCTGAAACTTTTAAATAATTCAGGTTATTTCAAAAGACAAATCAGTTTGCGAAAAGATTGCTAACAAAACGTTTGCGAAGTTTTGGCAGACGAAAATTAAGTTTTTGCAAAACGATTTGGTCTATGAGATAACTTGAACTATTTTAACGTTTCTGAGCAGGCTATTCATGCAATGAAACTTTGAAAAATTCCAAGTTGTTTCATAGAGCAAGTCGATTGGCAAGAATTTTCAGTTTTCTAAACAAGCTGTTCTTGCTTTGAAACTTTTGGAAAATTTCAAGTTATTTCAAAGGCAAATCGGTTTGCAAAATTTCTGCCTAAAACGATACGGTCTAAGAAAACTCATGAAAAATTTCAAAGTTTTTCTGAGCACGCTATTCATGTGATGAAACTTAAAAATATGTCAAATTGTTTCAACTGCGAGAAGTTTCAATTTTTCTGAGCAAGCTAATGAGGCAATAAAAGTTTGCATTATCTTAAGTTTTGCTTTTTTAGTTGGTTTGTTTCGGCAACAATTTCCAAAAAAATGGACATGCACTGTCTAGCCTTGAAAATGAATTGACTTGATCTTGTCTAAAGAATTGGATACCTTTCAAAAATAATTCTAGAATATTCCAGATTTGAGAAAACTTGAAAGTTCGAGAACATTCTTAGCCTTCTCTTAAACGTTAAGCCTGAAGACTTTCTTAAACGTTGCTTTCGACAAAATTAAAACATTGTGTTCACTTAAACATTGCGTCCATTGCGCAATCCGACTTTCATTTAATATACAAGATATGGAAGATTATGCGATGTAAGATTATATGTCCGGGCTCTTTTCAAGTTTCCCGACCTCTCGTAAAATTACAAAAAAAAACAGTTCATAATTTGTTCACACGACAATTTGCATGTTAGAAATGTTGTAGAAATTTGTTCACCTGTTCACGCTGACACATTTAATGCTGTTTATAACATCAAAAGTCAATTTAAATAGACTTTCATTTAATGGATTTAAGAAAAAATCAAAGTGGGGGGGGGGGGTGAAACTGGAAAAGAGCCTATGTCCGCTTAGGGCCTATACTATGGATTTACGACAACACTGATAGGTTCTTTTCCAGTATCCCACTCCCCTCGTAAAATTACAAAATGAAAATCATGTTCAAAAATTGTTCACACAGCATTACGAAATGGTGAAAAAATTAGTTCACCTGTTCACGCTAAAGCGTTTGATGCAGTTTCCAAAAAGGAAAGTAATTTCAAACAGACATTTATATATTGAATTTCAGAATCATTTAATGAAGTGGAACTGAAAACAGCCCACAAATCGGATTTAAAAAATCTTGGTTGTTAGTGTTCCGGCCATTGAAAACGGGGAGGAACTTTGTTTGGTGCGTACCCACGTAGCCGCATTCCCGGATAGCCATAAAAACTAAATTTTTTTGGTTTTAAATGAATTAAATCAGAAAACTCTTCACTAAATTGAGACGCAATTTAATTGGTGTGACATCCGACCACAATGTTAAAATGCAATTTCGCAATCGAATTTTTATCGGAAAGGTTACAGAACATCTAACCGGGAAGATTGATGGTTTAAATGAATTAACGTCGTTATTTGAACAATTGGACATATAAGGGAAGGGTAATTTTAACTAACATGCTGATTTTGTTAATTCGATTTCGACATGAGCGACACGTAACCTTTTAATATTTTGCAAACACTAAAACGGCGAAATCAGAACAACAAAATTCAAAGAGAACGACAGTGGACACATTGAAAGCATAATGAAATTGTGAATAAAAATGTCAGGAACCATTGCGAGTTGTAACGATTGTGCTGCTACAATCGTTACAACGCGGAACTCTAGAAAAAGGAAGGGTGTTGGGACGGCGTGTCCAGCCTTCCGGAAAAAAATATGAGTGCTCCGGAGGTATCTCGGGATCAGAAATAGAACTGTTTTATATAAACTTTCATGCCCTGAATTGAATTTAATAAACATCCAGATTCATTTTCAGAGAATGAGAAGCTAGGAGTTGAGTGAAAGGGTTGATCCATCTTCGATGAAAATGATGATTTTTATCTACTGATCAAAAACATAGTAAAATATTAAAAAGTAGTAGCCCTGTTTTCAGGAGTGACCTCGTGGTCTGGGTATACTGAGATCCAGCCATGAGCTCACTATTTTTGCATGTAGTTAAGTTAATTTGAGCGTTCTGGTCGAAGCCGTAAAGCAGTAACGTTTTTGTCGGCCCAATGTTAGGAAGACTTCTACAAGAACTGGCTTTGGCAGAGACGGCTAAAAGCATGTAGAGCTTTTTATGGACGGTAGCCAGTCGTTTTAGAACATAGCTTTATTTTCCGTCGATATGTACTTCCGGGCGAATGTTACATACATGTTTTTATGGCGCTCCCGGGTGTTATTTTTTTAACATCATAACCGGCAGAACCGTTAACGAGCATTCCGCGCCGAGAAGATGCTCATGATAAATCCCTTATTACTGGGGCGGAAGGGTAGAATGAAACGCGGAAGCCTTCCGGATTCCCGAATTCCTTTTTAACCTAGTTAAGACCGAAAGTTCACGTACCAGGAAGGGTGGGGAGATGGGCCGTCTCGTCGTTCTCTGAGCAAAATATGACCAAAAACACATGAAGATATATAAGAAAACAAACAAAAAGTAGTATAGTACCTCAGAAAAACCAAAAAACATATCAAATAATCAAGAAAAAACCAAAAGAGTAAAAAATATATAAAATCAGTAGAAATCATCCCCCAGACAAGATCTGATCCGACCCTCCTGTTTGTTGTTGTTAGATATATTGTTGTTACAGGCATTTATATCAAACAAGATTGATACGATCGAAACCGCGGCCCGTTTCTGGTGCTTGTATTATAGGGTTATTTGAGTATTTAAGCACGTTAATGTTAATTTGCGCCCAATCCGGAAGGGTCTCGGGAAAAGACCGATCCGGCAAGTTTTGTATCTCTTTCGGTACAGAAATTAAGATACGAATCTGTGGGGGGCACGACAGTGACTGCACTGGAGTGATCCTTCACCGTGCTGCGAATTTCCGAGTTAAGCACCTTAATTCGGATATTGAAAAAACCCGGAGGGGTATAGTACTATTTAGTACTATTAGTATTACTATATTTCCTGTATTAATACTCCTATACCGTTTTTCAAAAAGAAACATAGGAAAAAGACCGGTTTTTAAGGTCAAAATAGTGATATTTTGATCCCCCCCCCCAAATCGCGATTTTTGAGATATCGATATTTTTTGAAACGGAAATAAAGCACTGAGTTAGTGAATTACATCT